GAGAGAGAGAGAGAGAGAGAGAGAGAGAACGTATTGGTAGGCCTATATGTATTCAAAGGCGACTTTACCCACACATATTCAATACAAGCCACTGATAATATTATGCGAGAAATTACAACGATGGCTTGTTGGAATCACTAGAAGGATTGGCCATCTGTTGGATCCATTGCCATTACCTTGGATCAACTCCAGTTTTTAAACACGGAGACTCATATATATTATATATATACTTCCCTCCTCCCACCCCCTCTTCTCCTCCACCTCTGTCTGTCTGTCTGTCTGTCTGTCTGTCTGTCTGTCTCTCTCTCTCTCTCTCTCTCTCTCTCTCTCTCTCTCTCTCTCTCTCTCTCTCTTGGCTTAATGCATGTTATATTATCCTTCCTCCTGCTCCTCTCTCAAGAACGTCCAATATATTTTTGAAGAACACTTCCTCCCATATATGCGCGAATGCTAAGCTAAGGGCATATAGAAGCGTAACCTGTAGGAAGTGCATGCTTAAGTACACACATTCCCCACTTCAGATAACAAACAAAAAATCCCAAACAAGGAGAGCAAACAAACCAAATAAAAGAAAAAGAAACTAGTAATATAAGTAGTTATGGCTATATTTAGCCTATATCTCTAATAAGGCGTAGATTGTGTCGTGTACAAAAAAGCTGGGTCTTATCTGTAAACAGTTTGTCGGACACCTCGAACAATAAAAGCTGATGACAACAGTAGTGCATGAGTTTGTTGACTAAAATGTTGCTGTGAGGGGTAACAAAAATTCTTCATAAAACTGAGAATAAAAGCACAATTATTACTATAGTAATTATAATAAGAAATTGCATACGTTTTTGTTAGTGTTCAATTAGTGTTTTATTGTATTAATAGCAGCAACTATTCCATGCAAGTACTGAAATTGTGCCGACTTATTATAATTTACTAAATTTTTTTCTTTACAGTGGGCGGGAACGAGGAGGGGGTGTGGCTTCAAATGTCAACAACAACACATTTAGGCCTAGGCCTAAACATACATCTTGAAGAGCCAAGCAACTAGAAAAACCAAGAACACGGAAGGAAAAAAAAACCCATTTCCCACTTCTACGGTAAAAATTAATACAAACAATCATAACGTGCAGTTAAGTAGAAGTTATACAGCCAGACTCTGTGTTACATTTTATTTTTAATTCCAAAGCAAAAACTGCGCTTGTGGTAAGCCTAGCAGAGGGCCACCATTCAACCCATCGCCAGTGTCGATGACCTAACTATTTTGTCCAATCAATGAGTAGCTTCATATTAAGTGCTGAATAGCGGAAGTAACTTTATCAATAAGCAAAATGACAAATGTAGTGCTGAGGAAAAAGTCGAAAATGAAATAAATTGATCTGAATTAGTTAATTCGATGTTGGATATTGTACATTTTCAGGTATTGAAATGGTGGTAAGCTTGCATTGTATTTATGTGCTCTATTTCCTGTTAAAAGAACTCTTAAGTCTGTTTACGTGTAGTCTTTATTATATTTTGTCTGTCTCCTCTTAGTCTCGCTTTCTGCTAGAAAATTTTATGTCTCAAAGAAGAGCTTTAGACCGAGGTCTCAGTCACAGACTGAAAGATGCATGCTAAGAAGACTCCGTACGATCATTATTTTGCTTTCGGATGTCGATGGCAGGGTATTTGGTTCTCAGTGCTACCGCTGACTTATTGGAAGTGATAACATGGAACTGGAACACGGTTGGATCTGGATCTAATCCTGGTCCTTGTACTGGGTGGCCATGACCAAAAAGTGAACGTCTCAAGTCCTATTCCAGCCCTGGCTTGCTCGTAGTCTTGTTTCATTTTCTGTAATCCGAATTCTCACTCAAATGTTTTCCCCTTTGTCGTTTTGATTTAAAATTAGACTCTACAATCAGTTTCGACTTTGAATGGTTCTTATTGTTTAAAAAAAGAGCACTCATTTATGAAAGGAAAAAAGACCCCCAAACCTGTCAACACTGTGCCACTCACTCAGTGTTTATTTTTGGGCTTTGGCTGGTTGGGCTAGAATCTTTAAGATTATGCTGTGGTAAAGTTTATTTTTCTAAAAATCCAAGACAAAAAGCCTGCCTTGGTATTAACAAAACATTGTCATGGGTTCATACTACATTCGTAATATCTTGGTTAACATGAGCAGATGAGACTTTGTCTTCTTGTAAGTTTGGAAACGACAAAATAGCCAAAAAACAATATTTTTCTTCAAGTCTTCCGTTTGTTATGTTATTGTTAGACTTCCCTAATGTACACAGTAGTTTTTGGCTTGTGTTTTCTTCTGAGTCACTGAGTAGTCTGAGATTTAGACATTTGCTCTGTAAACCACCACGTCCACTTGCCATGAAAGGAATGATCTCTTGGAAATTTGTGTTCAAATTCTAGGGTTGATTGTATACACACACAAGTAGGAACAAAGGAAAATTAATTGTTTTGTTACTGTTCGTTTATTAAATTTTCAGTACTAACAACATGCCTTGTTTTCAGTTGTGTGACTCATTTTTATTCTTTGATCTCGTTCTCACTCACAACTGTTATAACTGATGAGTATCAACCCTGGCTAATCATTTTAAACCTCTGTTCATTTTCTCTAGGACTGTGTCATAGTCAAGAATTTGTTTTGTTAAATTGCTGAAGTTTATGTTGCAAGTAATGACCTAGAAGATGAAGGGCTTACAGCATAGAGCAACGACAACCTAATATATATATTATGGAATTAACTACCGCTGTTGTCTTATGTGAGCTTGAAGTTTAATCTTTTCTTGAACGTGTAGCTCTCAAGGTCTCATGTAAAAATACTGAAAGGTGGGCTTTTATCATTAATAAAAAACCATAAAAATAGTTTTGAAATTGTAGTTTTCTAATAATAAATTTGGCCTAAATAATACTATGTTAGTCTGAGAACAAAAAAAGAGAGAGCAGCTGAATAATAAAACTACATGATTTAATTTTATTCGGTTGGATTTAATAAATTCAGTGATGATGAAAACCTTTTGTGTTGTATGCAATGAAGGATTTTTGGTCAGCTTTTCTTTTTGCAACCAAATCTTAGTTTTGTATGTTTTTACTGACAGTTGCACTGATAGTATGTATGATAATTAAGTACATGTTTTCCATTCTCTTTGCCTTTTAAAAATTGTTTTCATTTTTGCGTGTCAAAAATAGAAGAGATATATATATAATATGATATATTGTCATTGTGAGGTTTTCACATTCTTATAAATATTTTCTTTATTTTGACAGATGTTTCAACATGAAGCCGATTTGAGTTGGTGGTGAGGCAGGATGCCTTCAGAGGAATCTCTGCTTTGATTTAATTATGCCATCATCATGATGGTACATGATAGCCTTATTCTAGGGCTTTTCAGCATTGCTGTGACCTTCTTGGGTTGCCAGTCTTCCAACTGCAGAGGTCGGAAGATTCTGAATGGGCAAGAAGGCTTTATTTCTGATGGGCCTGGGGAATACAAGGCGAATTCCCATTGTGAATGGCTCATCAATGGTAAGTCAAAGCAGACCCTGGCAATTTTCATTGTCACATTTTGTGTAATGAGCGCTTTGCAGTGTAATACTTTTGTCCTTTGTCCAAAAATATCTCTCTTTTGGTTAAAAATTGTGTTTATAATTTAGGATTTTGGAATGATTATGATGGTTTGGGTGTAGGCTATTAATGATAATGGCTCAAGTGGAGTTTTTACCTGATCGAAGGAACAGATTAAATGTAAAGATTCTATGCTACTCAGCCAAAAGGAAGGCCAACATGCCTGGATTAACAACACCTGTATACACCACTACTGCCCAACAAAACTACAACGGCAACAATATCAACAACGGCAATAAAAACAGTAACAACAACAGCAGGAGCAACAACAACAACAACAACAACAACAACAACAATAATAAGGACAGCAGCAACAGCAACAACAGCAACGACAATTGCAGCAACAAAAAACAAGCCCACCATTAAATTTCTCTGAGCTAGCATGACCCAAGGAAGAAAACAAAACAAAGTGAATACTGTGGTGAATGCACACATGACCTGATATAATTGCTGGTCTCACAAATCTTTTGAGGGTTGTAGGTCCTTCTTGTATTGCACTGTCTACTTAATTGTGTGGTTTGTCTTTTGTATTGTCTTTTTTTTTGCAATAAGTACAAGTTGAAATTCTCTTAGAAGGCCACCCATTGTCTTGGAGAAAAGTAGCAGTCTTAGACAGGTGTCCACCTCACATTTTGAATGATATTATAATTATAATATAAATTAAAGAAACAAAACAAAGTCCCACAAGGAAAGAAATGGGAAGTGGCCATTTGTACGGGTGATTGTCTTGTTAAAATACAGGTGGCTGGTAGAGCAGGTTCGACTGATTACTTCTAAAAACAATAGTTATTATGTCAATGAACTTTTTGAAAATCAGAGTAAAATATTAAATTTTATACTTTCTTTTTTTCTGCATTTTTCTATTCTGCTTTGAAAAGTCTAATTTATTGTGATGCTGTTCAATTTTATTGCAGCGGGCAACCCCAACAAGACGATCCACCTCTCATTTGAGAGCATGGCCACTGAGTGCTCCTTCGACTTTCTGTTCATCTATGACGGCAAGTCGTACAGCAGCAAGCTGATTGCCACTCTCAGCGGAGACAGTCCGCCAAAGCCAATTACAGCGTATTCGGGGCATGTAAGTCATTGTCGAGAATTACACCCGAGCCTGTTACATGTTATTGTTATTGATTGATTGATTGATTGATTGATTGATTGAAATTTATTTATTTATTTCTACCCCACCCACCCACCAACCCACAACCCCAAAATGTTAACTGTTCAATCCAGATCAGGTTTTTTCAGGTATATATTATTCAATTTTACCTTTACCAACTATGTTGTGTTTTGTTTTCAGCCCAAGAGAACATGATGTTTGCTTTTTTTTCAGATGCTGCTGTATTTATTCAGTGACCGGAACTATCTTCGGCCCGGATTCGAGGCTCGCTACAAAATCTTGGATTGTCCATGGAACTGTAGCGATCGTGGGCCCTGCATCAACCATACATGTCACTGCAGAGCTGGCTACAGTGGTGTAGGATGCGAGGTAATTATAGAAGTACAAAAAGAAACCGTTGTATTATGGAATGTTCACAAGTATGTTAACTGAATGGCAGATGGATATTGTTAAGACTCTTCATTCAATATCTTAAAGCAGATCAGAATGGTTGATGCACATGGCACTTGGTTCCTTTACAATTTAACACTCACTTATTGAATTTTGTTGGAAGCAGAAATCTTTTGGTTATATGTGAATTTCACTTGTGGACGCGTGTTTTAGATACAAAAAATGTATACTTGTTTAGGAAAAGAAATTCAGGAGCTGAGAACAAGTTGGCTATGTGTTTATTTCAGTGTGTGCGTGTTTTTCTGTACTCTTGTCCGCTATGTGTGTACTAAACTGTATTTATTCATGTACAATAAGCTGTTTGTGTCTTAATTTGTAGGTGGCTGACTGCCCGTCTGACTGTGGAGACCATGGGGAGTGCAAGTTCCACTCGTACAAGCTCCAGTACTGCAACTGCTCCCAAGGCTACGTGGGACAGGAGTGCAATCTCCAGGTCAGCGGGCCGGAGGGTCAAGGAGGCTGGTATAACATCCAGCAGGAAGTGAACCGGGGCTTCCCTCCCCGCACCTCCCACTCGGCAGCATTTATCGACGGCTGCATTTGGGTGTTTGGAGGTTTCGATCTCAATACCGTCCTCGGTGACCTCTGGCGGTACTGTATGCACGAAAACAGTTGGGAGCAGTTTCTTCTGAAGGAGTCGGTGAAACTGAGCGGTCTCAACAGTCTGCCCGCCAACAGGTCATCAAACTCGTGGCCTAGCGCTCGGAGTGGGCACGCCATGGATGTGTACGGGGAGGGCTTCTTTATTTTTGGGGGGATCCTCGAGGACGGGACACACAGCGACGAGCTGTGGTACTTCAACATTACGTCCTTGTTCTGGAGCCTCGTGGCTTCAGAGAGTGTGGTCAAGCCGGAGAGGGTCACTGACCACTCGTTGACCCTCGTGGAAGAGCATCTGTACCTTTTGGGAGGGAAGACGGAGGACCGGATCTTCGTGGACTCGATGTACCGCATCTCCGCCGAGTCCCCGCTGCAGTGGGAGCGGGTTCTCATCCAGGGGGGCGTGTACCCGCCCAAGAGACTCGTGGGGCACACCACGCTGTACCACAAACACTCGCGCTCACTCATCGTCTTCGGCGGCTACACGCAGGGCAGTGCCCTGTTCAGCGACCGCACGCGTGACATCCAGATGTTCAACATCGACGACCAGTACTGGTCGCGGCTGTCCAACGAGAACTGGCGGGGCAGCTCGGTGCCGCGCCACCGGGCTTTCCACTCGACTGTGATGATGGGCAACTACCTGGTTGTCTACGGGGGCAACACTCACGACCATTCCACCTTGGAGATTTGCTACAACCAAGAGATTTTCTTCTACCACCTCGGCTGCCATGTGTGGCTCAATCACACTTACTTTACGGGTGAGTGAAGAAATCTGGAATTTTGAAATATATACATATATGTGTGTCACGACGTGATGGAACCAGGTGCTCGTCAATTTTTGGGCATATAGAGTTATTTATATCACCTTAAAGCTTGTTCATTTGTCTTGCATTTGGCAAAAATATGCACTCTATCTTGAATTGAAGTAGATATATTTGCGATTGAAGAAGGTGGGGTAGCCTGGTTTCAGTGGTCAAATTAATGAGAAAATGGCCACCAAAGTTTGGTAACTTCAATAGCTTAATAAAAGAGTCCTTGAAAACTGAAAATTACATATTTTGTGCTTTTAAACAAGGTTTTTCTGTAAAATTCACATTGAAATGTGTTTTCATATGAATATAAAAGGTGTTTACCCAAAAAAACAAAATTTTGTCATAAATTGCCAAACTTGTGGAAAATGCCTTTTTCTTCGATTTCACCATTTTGACGAGCACCTTATTTCACCACGATACCTCACATATAGATGTGAGATTGTCCAAGACAGCCACCCATTGTTGAACTGAAAAATGGTTGTCCTATGCAAATGGAAGTTAAAGACAGCGTCGTTATAATATATAGATCTAGAGATAAAGTGGTCTTTTGTATAGATGATTGTTTTGGACAGGTGGCCATTAGAGTTGGAGTAGGTTTCCCCCCCCCGGGCGGTGCCATTGACTGAAGTGTCTTTAGGCCATTCCCAAAGGGGGGACATTTCTCGTTCTAATGCACAGTAGAATTGTTAATGGGCTGATCCAACAATGTCATGCTCATAAAACTGTGCCTGAACTACAACAGGGAACTGCTGCTTTTTCTTTCTTAATCCTTACTATCGTCATTTTCCTCTACTTCTTTTGTATGTTTGTCACAGTCTTGTGACCTGCTATTTCCGGGGTGCCTTGATAGTCGAAGCAGACTTTGTACTGTTGAAGCTAGAGAGATGATCAGAGTAAGTCTGATTCCCTGTAAGGACTTCTCTGTTGACATCCACCCCTCGGCACTCATATGACCTTATATATGCAGTTGCGAGCGCCGTAAAACCTCTACTAAAACTAATAAGAGTAGGTTTGACTCTGTTGTACATTTAGTCCTAGCTCAGGTGGAGGACGATAAGCCTGTCCTCCTGTCTGTTTGCCAGATTTTGAAATAAGAATGAGCAGGCGGTTGATTTTTCAGGAAATGGCCACCCAGCATTAATAGTCTAGTGATTAGGCTACTGCACTTGAAGTCGTGAGATGAGATTGCGGGTTCGAGGGTTTGAGACTCAGCTCGGTCTGATATTGTGTCTTTGGGAAAGGCACTTTTCGCAAATTTTTTCAATTTCACTCAGTCTTAACGAAGCTGAAGGTTAAATTTGAAGGTCCCACCTCTTAAATAATCTTTCAGTGTTGCAAGTGCTATTGTTAAACCCTTACAGTGGGTGGTTGGCGGGAGCACTGGTGTGGTTTGCTTCTTCTTTCCTATCAAACATCTATCGTCCTTATCTCCCCTTCTTCTTTTTTATGTTTGTTACTTTCTTGTAACACCTCTAATCTTCTGGCGCTCATATGACCTTATGCAGTTGCGAACGCCGTTAAACCTCTACTAAAACTAAAAGCCTTTACAATTTCGCAAATTTTCAGGAAATGGCTCAGGCAATGGAATGCCTTCCAAGGGAAGGTTCGGCCATGCGGCTGTTGTAGCCAACGGGAATGTCATGTTCATTCTCGGAGGTTACTCGGGTCAAGTGTTGGGAGATCTTATTGCCTACAAGGTTCCATCGGCCATAGCAGACTTTGAGGTAAGTTTTTTTTTTTTTTTCCAGCATTAAATAACCATTTATGTGTCAATGTGCTTCTCTTTATTCAAACTCTTGCTGTACACCTCTAATCTTGTAATCGTGTTGCAACTGCCAATTAAAAGAAAAGTGGGAAGACATGGAATGTATAACATCAAGAGGCTAGCCGAGGATAGAGAAAGGTGAAAAGTGTTTGTCCGTGGCCTATTCCCTGGTGCAGGGTGAGAAAGGCAATGATGATGATGCCATTTAAAACTCTTGTAGCTAAAGCTGAAAACTTAAACGAAGAAAGAACGTACTGACCAAATGTGAGGCAGCGTGGTGAAATCAGGCGCTCGTCAAAATAATGAAATCAAAGAAATTGGCTATTTTTTCTGGCCGTTGCGCAATTAAAAAAACATTTTCTATTTCTGGCTCAACACCTTTGGCTTTTATGTCAAATTAAAAACACACTTCTGTGTGGATTTCACTGAAAAACTTTGAAAAAAGGCATAAAAATGGTAACTTTTCAGTTTCCGTGGACTTTCAAGCTATGGAAGTCACCAGACTTTGGCAGCCATTTTCTTGCTAATTTTTCCTCTGAAACCAAGCGCCCCCATCCTCCTTCAATGACAAATATCTCGACCTCTATTTGTGATAGATGAGTATGAATTTCACCGAAAGTAAAACAAATGAACAAGCTTTAAAATGATGCCAATAACTGCGTACGCCCAAAAATGGACAAGCATCTGATTCCACCGCGTCGTGACACAAATATTTAGTGGGTGGTTGGCGGGTGCTTTGGGGTGGTTTTCTCCTTTCCTATCAAAAGCTATCGTCTTTTTCTCTCCTCCTCCTTTTTTGTGTTTGTTACTCTCCTGTAACACTTCTAATCTTCGGCACTTATAATAATATGACCTTATTCTGTTGCAAGTGCCGTAAAACTCTTACAAAAACTAAAGATGGTATCGCATTGAACAGCCTAGGGGCTGGCCCTGACAGGCAGGATTGAAGCATACTTACTTACTTACTCTCTCCCTATGCCGTCAGGTACATAAGGCGGAGAGCAGTCGACACAACGCTTGTCTGTCCCTGGCGACGCCACAAACTACAACTAAACAAATATTTAATCTCCCCTAGTGTCCGAGTTCTTCCACCTCGTGCACGGCTCTGTCTGCGACCCCGGAGGAGAGCGTGGAGCCTCGGGACCACTGCAACGAGTACCCCAACACCAGCCCCTACTTGTGTCAGGATGACCCGGAGTGTGTGTTCTGCAACAAGGGCAGGATCGACTCGGGCAACCAAAGCTGTGTGCACAGGACCAGAGTGCAGGTGAGCTTGAGTTGCGTGTGCATGTGTGTGTGTGTTTGTGTGTGTGTTTTCCTCACTTCACCCAGGTGGAAATGGATACCCGGCCATAGACAGCAAAATATCTTGTCAGTATGTTAGTGTTTTAGTGCCTATAAATGGCTGCTTGCACTGTATGCTTCCCAGGAAGTTGAGGTTGTTTCAGAACGCTCTCAGGTCTGCTGGGGTAATAGTATAGATTGTGAAACGCATAGAGCTTGCTGTTGAACGGGGATTTGCGTTATACAAATGCTGTCTATTATTAATTTCTAATTTGCTTTGTTAGTACAGGACACAATTTAGATCATTTAGGAGGTGGGCTTTGAACCTGCCAACAAAGCTGAGAGGGATACAGCATCCTGGCAGAAAAACCTGAGATGCTCCATAAAAGTTCTCCACATCCGTGAATCGACATCAGTTCTTCAGAGTGTGACAGCGAAAAGCTTAACCGTAGCACCATAAGAGCTTAAAGTGTCCATGTTATAATTGTACAACTTGTTAAAAGCTGAAAAAAAATGACTCTTGAAAATAGATTGTGAAGCACACAGAGCCTTTTTTCCAGTAAAGATATGCCCTGATTTAATATAATCTGTTGTTACGGTTGTTATTATAATAATGATGATGATGATGATGATTGCTATTATTATTATTATTATTATTATTATTATTATTATTATTATTTTTGTCGTTGTTGTCAATAAGGTGTATGCCCCCCCCCCCCTCACCAGGGCAGTGCTACTGACTGAAGTTGTCTTTAGGCCATTCCCAAAGGGGAGATATCAACATGTTCTTATGCACAGTAGAATTGTAAATGGGCTGATTTATCAATGTCATGCTCATAACTGTGCCTGAACTGCAACAGGGAACTGCTGCTTTTTCTTTCCTAATCCTTACTATCGTCAATTTTCCTCTAATTCTTTTATATGTTTGTCACACTCTTGTGATCCGCTATTTCCGGGGTGCCTTGATAGTCGAAGCAGACTTTGTGCTGTTGAAGCTAGAGAGGTGAGCAGAGTAAGCCTGATTCGCCGTTTGGACTTTTCTTTTGACATCCACCCCTTGACGCTCATATTCATGACCTTATGCAGTTGCGAACGCTGTAAAACCTTACTAAACTAATAAAGATGATTGCTATTATTATTATTATTATTATTATTGTTGTTGTTGTTGTTCACAAAGTGTATTGTATGCCTGTTAAGAACCTGTAAAGCATGTTGTCTTTCCCCACACAGCTGTGTGTGAACAAGGATTTCCACGACTCTACGGACCGGTGTCCCGGCATCTGCCCGACGCTGCACACGTGCGGGGCGTGCGTCATCCATGGGAAGGGCGTGAATGTGTCTGCGGCCTCCCGGAGGCGCCAGGTGTACATCCAGGAGTGCAGCTGGTGCGTCAAAGAGGCGCAGTGCCAGACGAGAGCCGGTGAGTCATGTGTGGATAGCAAGCAGACCTATCCCTATATCTTAACACAGAGTGGAACTTTTATCTGTAAAAATGAAATATATATATCTATAAATGCATGTACCTCCCCCCCCTCTCTCTCCACACACACACACACACACACACACACACACACACACACACACACACACACACACACACACACACACACACACACACACACACACACACACATGCACACGCGCACACACACATGCATCTCAGGGCTTGATTGTTACTCTTCTTCTCACTATTATCATGATTGTTATATTTTAAGATATTTTTTATTGCAGGCTATATATAAATGCCATACATTATTATTATTATTATTATTATTATTATTATTATTATTATTATTATTATTATTATAATGTTTATTTTTATTATTATTGCAAATGGCCCAGGCAATGGAATGCCCTCTAAGGGAAGGTTCAGTCATACAGCTGTTGTACCCAACAGGAATGTCATGTTCATTCTCAGAGGTTACTCGGCTCAAGTTTGTTTTGATCATTGTGATAAAGTGTGCGCTTGCGTCCTCATGTTTCAGTGCCCTTCGGCACGTGCCAGGCGCCCGAGCAGACGGAGTCGGGCATCCAGGGCTGGTGGAACGGGCTGAGCGCCAACCTGACCTCCTTGCAGCAGTGCCAGGTCGAGGATTTCCCCGCCGGCCTCCACTGGGTCAAGTACCGGGCGCCTCTCAACATTACCTTTCCCGATGAGGTTTGTTCTTATTATTTTGTTCCTCTGTTGTTGTTTTTTTTCGTTGACATTTCGCTACCGTAGAAACGCAAAGTTCTATTGGAAGTTTTTGGCCTTTTTGAATTATCAACCCTTCCAGCCCCAGCAATTTTTGTGCACTTCTTAACCGCAGTGCCAGTTAATCATCTTCATCCAGTGCCAGATCTGCGACAGACATCGGCGATCATGGTTTTCCATTCATTCCTTTGCTTGGATGCTCTCAAAAAAGCTACGTTTCCCTGATCTTTCCCTGTTACCCATTTGTTTAGGTTCCCTAAGTATGTTGTTCTGGGCCTACCCTACCTCGCTTGCCCTCAATTTTGCCAGTGAGAGCCAGATGTTCAAGACCATTATGTCTATTCAGGTGTCCCAAAAACTGCATTTGTCGTTTCCTGATTGTTTTTAACATTGAGAGTCCCACGTGGGCTTCATCAAGCACTACCTCATTTGATTTCTTTTCCTTCCACGACACTCTTGGCAGTCTCCTAAGAAACCACATTTCTCTTTCTAAAATATTTTATATTCACTGTCTTTAGTGATTGTCCAGCATTCACAGCCATATAGAATGTTTAGTCACGCCAGTGTGTACGGAATCATAACCATTCCTGACCTTCATACATAATTTATGTATGAGGTCAGCTTCCGCTTTGTGCTAATTATTTCTTGTTTTTTCATTTCAATTAATAAAACAGTGTGTAGTACACACAGGCGTGACGTTTGTTTCTTATAATGTTTAGTCACGCCAGTGTGTACGGAATCATAACCATTCCTGACCTTCATACATAATTTATGTATGAGGTCAGCTTCCGCTTTGTGCTAATTATTTTTATGCTTAATATAGATTATGTTTGGTGTACCGGAAAGTATGTCATTACAGGTATATTGTGTGGAGTTGCATGATTGTGGGAGTAAGGCATTTCTTGTTTTTTCATTTCAATTAATAAAACAATGTGTAGTACACACAGGCGTGACGTTTGTTTCTTTTAAGGGTTGACCAAACATAGCATTTCAGGACTTTCATTTTGGTGTTCATTGAGATGTTTCTATTTTTCAGGATTGGGCTCATTTTTATTGAAACTAGCCTTAGCCATTGCAGAAAAAGAGGCATGCATTCTAAAAAGTGATGTAGTAACTTTGTAATGAGGTTTAGATAATAACATATAACAAAGTTTATCAGTGAATGAACAAATATTGTGAAAATTAAAGTGTAATAAGGTTTGCTAATTTAAAAAAAATGTTGTTATTATTTCTTCTTCAAGATGAGCATTATCCGCAAGACAGAGGGCAGCATGGGATACATCGACACGAAGCTCATCGAGGCCACCTTCATCTACACCTCGCGTTTTTTAGGCTACATCCACCCGCTGAACGCCTCGCCCCCCGTGGGCACCAACCTCACTCTGTTCCTGGGGCTGAAGAACGCCAAGGCCAGACTGTACCTTTCGCAGGATGAGACCGAGAACAAGAGGGTGAGTTTCTCCGCTACTGTTTTGTTTTTGGGAAGTGTTTTGATTTGGTTACGTGGCCATCTGTGTTCTTTGAAACTTTTTTTTTTTGTCATTGCTTTTTGTGGTGAGTTTTCCATTAAAAATTTTGTTTTGAGAGTGTTTTGTTTTGGTTACATGACAATTTGTGAGGCAGTGTGGTGGAATCAGGCTCTCGTCAATTTTTGGGCATGTAGAGTTGTAGGTATAATCTTAAAGCGTGTTTACTTGTCTTTATTTGAATGAAAAAAACATCCATTTATCTTGAATACAAGTTGAGGTATTTGCGAAAGAAGGAGGTGGGGGTCACCTGTTTTCAGAGGTAAAATTAGTGAGAAAAAGGCCGCCAAAGATAATTATTTCCTTAGCTTAAGAGTGCGTGGTAACTGAAAATTTACATTTTTGTGCCTTTGATCAACGCTTTTCAGAAAACTCCACAGGGAAATGAGTTTTTTAATGGGCATGAAAGGTGTTTAGCCAAAAAACTAAAATTTGATAAAAATTTACAAACCTGCGGAAAAATTCAAGTTTCTTCACTTTGATTATTTTGACGAGAGCCTGATTCCACCACGCTGCCTCACATTTGTATTATTTTTAAAAACTTTTTCTCATGGCTTTTTGTGGTGAGTTTCCCATGTAAAATTTATTTTGTTTGGAAAGTGTTTTGTTTTGGTTACCTGACCATTTGTATTTAAAAAAAACAACAAAAGTTTTTCTCTTTGCTTTTTGTGGTGAGTATCCTATTTAAAGTTTTGTTTGGAGAGTGTTTTGTTTTGGTCAGTGTTAGCACTCTGAGGAGAATACCAGAATAAAGATGTGTGTGTGTGTGTGTGTGTGTGTGTGTGTGTGTGTGTGTGTGTGTGTGTGTGTGTGTGTGTGTGTGTGTGTGTGTGTGTGTGTGTGTGTGTGTGCGTGGGATGATGATGTGGGCCAAGCAGCCTGCAGATTAGGTGCTCTGTTACATCCTGCAGAAGACCTGGGTGTGATTCATGTGTGGGGGAGAATTTTTTTATCAACTATCTTAGTCTTTCTGGGGGTACGTTGTATCCCCCTCAGTCTGGGTTGGCCCTGGATTCACTCTGACTTCATATATTATGGACACCCCCGGAAAATTTTAAAGTCAGTTTGGCAGCCACCCTGCACTGATTTGTCATTGATCCCGATTTTTTTCCCCTTGACATCCTGATTTTTATATCTTATAGAGTGGCAGTTCTAGTTTACCCCCTCGGAGATGAGAAAGAACTGCCATTATACTTTTTTTTACATGTTTTTCCTCTCTGCTCTGTTGTGTGTACAGGAGAAAGTGATCACCATGAGTGAGGTGGCCCACTACGACACGGTGGTGGCCGTGAGGCCGTCGGGGCTGCCCGTCTTCCCCAACGTGTCCCGGGGCAACAAGTACCTGATCGAACAGGTGAGTCTGGAGTCATGAGGACAATTGGTCGCTTTTAAGGACTAGCGGGCTAACCCAGATTTCGGGGGTTTTGAGAAATCTTGACCTACACCAAAAGTGGGCATTGCCCTACCTATAGGAGAAGTTTGGCTTCATTGGTGTGTATATTTGTTTGGTTGTAGAGAGAACTCTCCTTGTCTTTTAAAGACACTGAACAACGGGCAAAAACTTGACCTTCGATTTTCTCAAAACAGCATTTTTCGGGATAGCCCCCTTTGTGCTTAAAATCGACCAACTTCAGCTGTTGCTGACTTACTTTACTTTACTTTTCCGATCCAGCGGCCATTTGGGTTCTAGCCCTTCGGTCTGTCAATATGGCAAAAAATTAGCTGTTGCTGACATGTTCAACAGCTTTCTCGATGAAAGATCCCCATCTTAAAGGAACAAGGTTGTATCTGAAATTTTTGGGCGTTTTGAGTCACTAAGACCATGAGGAGGTCAGAAATCAAATGTTCTATCTGCTCTCTCAGAATCAAAAGATTATCCAGAGTTGTTGTTAAGAATTGCATTCGGGAAAAACTTACTGTTTTGTGAACCTCAAATTTTTTACTTTAAATTTCTCAAAACTAGGCACAGAACAGATAGAACTTTGTAATTCTAGGGTAGCGAGATTTTTCAGAATGGCGCTTGCTTGACCTGCCGGTTCGCAGTTACAAAACTTGATTGGTAATTTCTTCTACTTTTTTAAAGAAAAAAAAGCATGTAAGATTTTAGAGGTGCTTCAATTAAAATTTGTGTGACATGACTTGACAAACGTTCTTAGTCACATTTTATAGCGACTTTCGGAGATTTGCCGATTTTGATAGGAGAGGAAATGTGATTTTGGTGGCAGTTATGACCAATACTCCAGGTATATATTTTGCAGATATGATGTTTTTGCATTATAGCCTCGATTTTGTGGCGACAGTTGCCTCATGGTAAGGCTACCGGATTTGTAATCGTGAGATTGCTGATTTGGGGGGG